AGCTTGTTCAAGGCCTTGTGAATACACAAGAGGGCTTCCCAAGGCGCATTGCGCGAGCGAATACCGAATTGCCACCTCACCGGCTTTGTCTTCTTCGCCTGAACGACGGGCGTCATGCCTTGTGGCCGTTTGCTGGAATCGTCGAGTCTGACCTGGCTGTTCCTGGAGTGAGGCTTGAGATGTCTTGCTGTCTCTTCCCTTTCTGCATCCGTGCGGGCAGATGAGCCTGGTTCGTTGACGACGATTGTTGGCGCCGGATGGTCCTCGGGGCCAGCCTTCTCACGCTCCATGTACTCCTTATGGTAGTTTGGCAGACTGCTCGGCAGGATACCGATCTTGCTGATGTAGGGTCGTTGTCCACCGACTGTTGACCCGCCGGACCTCGCGGACGATGCGCTTGGGAGTGGACTACTAGAGCCATCTTGATCTACTGAAAGCGATGACATGGCCTCTGTTGAAAGGTTAGATGTGCACTCATCATGTGGATAAGCTCTCGCTGGTAGATACGTACCATTCACTTGCATGAGTTTGTTCTCGCGAACAATCATGTACGCATCTTTAATGGCCGATGGCTCCGCAGCCTGCAAAGCCTCCTCTACATCCTTCTTTCCGTAACCCATGGTCTTACTGATCTTCTCTGTGACCTCGTTGTGCAACTTCTCCTGGACTTTAGGGGGGGCATTGGGTGCTATGTCACTCTTCTGGATGGCCTTGTTGGGGTCCACGCCTGTATTGAAGAATTCCTCGACCGGCGGCGCCAGATAAGGCGGCAGGTCAGTCATGAACCAGGGGTCCTGACGGATATCATCAATAGTGGCACGTTGCACGGGGTTGACGACCAGCATCTTCTTAATGAGGCCTGCAGCACCAGAGTTCATCCATTGCGGTATGCTGTATGTGCCGCGCGCAATCTTTGCGAAGAGACTTGGGATATGCTCATCGTCAAAGGGCAGTCTCCCCACCAGCAGGACGTAAAGAATCACGCCACAACTCCACACATCCACCTCTGGGCCAGCGTAAAGCTTGCCACCAATGACTTCGGGTGCGGCATAATTTGGACTACCGCAGCTCGTCTTCAGAAAGTTTCCGTCCGTCATGATGTTGCTCAAACCAAAGTCGGCAATCTTGACATTGAGGTTGTCGTCCAGAAGAAGGTTCTCGGGCTTCAGGTCTCGATGCACGATCTTGTGTCGGTGGCAGTACTCGACGGCACATAGCATCTGTTGAAAGAATCTACGCGCCTCGGGCTCCTTCATCCGGCCGTTTTGCACTATGTAGTCGAAAAGCTCTCCGCCTGCATATTCAAGAACCATGATGATCTCGTTGGGGGTCTTAATAACAGTGTATCTGTGTTGATCTGGATTAGTAATAGGTCTGCAGTGAGCGAGTGTGGTCTCAAATATGCGACATACAATTTGATAATGTGAGGATGTCGCAGAAGCTGTAGGTATTCGATTTCGCGCTCCACGCGACCAGCCATATCTCTGCTGATGAGCTTCTTCCTCGCGATGATCTTGAGAGCGACCTGCTGGCCGGTACCATTGTGGATAGCCAGCTTCACTTTTCCAAAGGAGCCCTCGCCCAGGGTCTTGATGATCTTGTAGGCGCCAATGCGCTGCTCCGTCTTGATCTTATCCCGCAGCGGGGCGGTGGTATCGACGGGCGGTCCCATATTGGCGATGTTTACGGCACCGGGCACAGGCGGTTGTAGTTCGTGACGGCCGGCGGCGGAGGCGGCAGCATCGGAGGCGGCACCGTGCTGCTGGGAGCGTCGACGGATCTGGGAGGGCGAGAGACTGATATGGAGCTCCTCCTCGTCAAAACCGGAAGCCATATTGTCGGTCGGAAGGGGGGATGGCGGGGGCTCAGGTCGTTTTTGTTTGAATGGGGTTGTGGCCGGAGCAAGCCTTTGGACCACACTCAAGTGGGCATGACGAAGTTGGATGTGGATTGTGGAGGGGAACATGGAATGGTGAGGTGGAGTGGTTGCCAAGAAGCTCCCTGGCTCGCCTGGTTTGTGCCAGTCTGTTCTGCACCTTCAGGCTTCCTGCCCCCCCTTCTTTTTTCCATCTGCCTGCCCATGCCAGGTGCCACCCGCCGGCTCTTGCCCGCAATGGTGGGGAGAAAGTGCGCTATGGTCTGTGCTTCAACAAGTCCCGTCCTTCATATTTGCGCCACAATTCCTATTACTCACCACAGTCTGATGAAAGAATCATCGCGAATTGGGCGAGTATTCACGGCATCGGGCTTATTAGAAGGAGATCATACTTAGCAATGCTGCTATCATCTCTATTAACGGAGCGTCAAGTGTAGCTCAGATAGGTAGTCATTGATATGATCCGACTGAAACCATCTCAGCCCTCGTCTCATTGGGCCCAAGATGGAAATCCAAGTAGAGTTTAAGGTGGGTGAGCAGATAATGGCTAGACAGACTATAAAACTCACGTTGGATATCATATACCTCATTTCCCCAGGCTGCGGTGTGAGGCGGTCGCTGATAAGTGACAGCTCATAATCATACCGCTGAGTGAGCCGGTCCGACTACATCAGGTCGCATCACCAGTGAAGTTGGTGGCTGTAGCCTTATGACTACATGATAGCTACGCCCTTCTGAGAACAGACAGACACAACTGCCGTTGCAGGCCCGAACATCGCCTGACAATATCAATACTTGCTCATTCGTCGGCAAATCCCAGGATCAGGTATCCGTAGTTACTCTCCGTCAGGCTATAATAGCATGAATCCACGTTCGTCCCGAGTCATATTTAAGCGCACCAAATACACACAATGACACGAGACATTCGATGTTGATAAGTAAGTAGTGACTAGACCTGGCCAGTAGATAGATGGCGGCTCGAGGCATACTCTGGTAGCGTATCATTTTTGAATACTGCGCCATTGGTCACAGAACCTCTTACGCAGCAATTGCTACCTTAGGTTTGGATACAGAATGGGTTCTTGGCCACAGGAAATCCCTCGCCCTTGACTCGAGGAAGCAGAGCCCAACTGATCGCTGGCATCATTGCTCGCCTGCATGTCATCCTTTGGACGGCCCGGCAACTCAGGCCACCCAGGGATCAAGGCGCCGCAGCTGCTTGCATCGGCTAAACAACCCTGATCAATCCTACCATCCAAAGGAACAACGGCCCTCTGACCCAAGTAGTTGTGTCGTTTGGGAGACTATTGAGATGCAGAGATTCGAGAATCAAAATCTTTCAGCACTATCAATAAGAATTTCCAGGGTCGGTCGGTAAAACAGACCCGAACTGACTCAACCGAGAACATCAACCGGCGGTCTGGAGTCTGGTGCATGTGCCCGCTTCTGTTTTTGGGCCCCTTTCGTCCATGTGCATATTATGGCGGGAGTCGAGTACGGGGTTGTGGGGGCAAACCGTGTCTGCAGGACGAAAGATTCTGCAGCAACTCCATTCCCGAGGTTAATAAAGGAGCAAGCTCACGATCCCCTCCGGATGGATGCTTGTTCCTTGCCCAATGCCCAAACGAAAGACCAAGTGGAGGTGGGTGGGTTCTCACAACTCGCGAAGGCTTCGTCCAATCTCTCAAAATGCAATTTGATGCCAGAAGGTACCTATTTGGCCAAGGAAGTGAACTCATGTTCATCCTAGGAATTGACTGACAAAATGTCGTCAATATGTGCAGTCGTAAAGTGGTGAGCTACTATTACATGAGTGTACAATTTTACAGCGAGTATCCGTAGGCCGGCTAGCTGTCCCCCCCGCCCTAAAGAGAGTCCTCCAAATGCTTGTGGCGCAATTACGAGTGGTCTTTATCGTCTTCCTCGCGAAGTCTCTCAACGAGCTTTTCTGAAAGGTACGGACTCAATCCGAGACTATTCGTGTTAGTCTGCTCGTTCAGTTTGTTGCACTAAGGCTTCGCAACTTACATTCCCTCGTTGGTGATAATTCGATACGTTCCACTTAGCTCGAGCTGACCAATTATGTTGCCGCTTTGATCAACTTCAACGCTGCCCAGGATGTCTTCAGGCCAGGCAATGCGACCAAAGTCTGGAGGGTTTCTTGAATCACTGAGGTGGACGTAACCGCCATGCCCACCTCCTCCAGCGCCGCCTTGAGCACTGGCACCACCAGCACCACCGCCTCCGGCGCCGCCGCCGCCACCGACCTTGCTCGACGAGCGCCTCTTGTTCTTCTGGGCGAAAAGTGCTCCTCCGGAACCAAGATTGGCTCCGCCAGGCCCTGCGAAGGCTTGTGCCTGTGCTAATAGATCCTTGTCTTTATGCGCATGCTCTGCGAGGACTTCGTAAAGGATCTTGGTAAAGGTCTGATTCTCGATGAATGATCGTGGCGTCGGAGGGTCGGTCGTAGAGAAGCCAATGGCTATTCTCTGGTTGGGTGGCTCATCTTCGAGGTAGGATAGGAGAAAGGAGGCTCGCGATGCGTCTGCAGGGAAGACTTTCTGCGCAGTAGAAACGGTCAGCTGGTTGTGTCGACACGCATGACACAGGAATAGGAACTCACAATGCGCGGGTTGGACGGCAAGCTGGACATGGAACGGAAAAAATTAATTCTAGAAACATGCCTCGGCATGAAACGAGCTACTGGTGCCAGCATTGTGAGTATAGTGGTTGGAGTGGTGCGAAAGACAGCAGCGGCGCATTTGCATTTGAGAGGCTTTGTCTTTTCGAATTTTGGCGCAGATAGCTCCAATTTCCTTCGATGACAGCATGCCAGCTGCCCAGAGTCGAGGGAGCTTAAGCCACCGCCTTCTTCAGCCACAGCTATAGCATTCTAAACCCCACTTCCGCTGACTGTGGCGCGGGGTTAGGAGAGCGCGGTCAATTAACCAAGGCGCGTTGCTTCGCTGCGACGGACGCGTCTCAATTAAACATTTAGCGTCCCCGCGACTGTTCTCAACGAATACTTCGTAGCAATTGCGACAACCACCACTCCGAAGAAGATCTCCGACCCTGATACACTGTGATCTCCATTCTATTCAAGCCGCCAAGAAGCGTCTCAATCATGGATCCACCACCGTCAATATCTCCCAAACGCAAGCAAATGCCTATGGCCAACATCTTTGCCGCAAGGACACCTGCCCCTCCATCTTCTGCAATACCCTCGTCCTCACCCGCATTCGGTACCCCAGTCCATCCTTTGAAGCCTTTCAAAGTTTCAGCGCCGACGAAACATGCGATCCTCCCCATCATTCTACCCCCGGCCACACTGCGACCACTGGCATTCCGAACTTTCACAAAGAAACACAGTCTGACCCTTGCCTCCTCCGCCCTACAAGAACTGGCTACGTTTATCGGCCGGCATTGCGGTTCCGCATGGCGAGAGGAGGGACTCGCAGAGAAGGTCCTGGAGGAGGTGGCAAAGTCATGGAAAAGCCGCAACGGTGGAGTTATCGTTGATGGCGCAAGCCCGGAGCTCAAGGATATTCTGAAAAACTTGGAGGGAAACATGAGCGGGGGCAAAATTGTGGCCGGCGCCAGAGGCTTGAGTCGACAGAATAGTCTTCTGATCGAACCAGGGCAAGATGCGGACATGTCAAATGCGAGATTGGGTTTGCGGCCGGCACAGGCGTCACTGGCTCGAGAGGACAGCCAACAGAGCTTTGGCATGTCTAGTTTGGGCGTTGAGGAAGAAGAGGACGACGAGAATATCAAGGATCCGCGGAAGTGGTTCAACGTTATTGATGCGTATGACCAGCCAAGGTACTCTTACAACGTTGCCAAGAAGCACTTCGAGAGGTACGAGATAAATTTTGCCCTGGGCAGGAACTTACTCGCTAACGATGAGCAGGGAAACCTCAAAACCGTCACTACTACCGCCAGCATCACACAAGACTGCGCTGTTCAGAAACAGGTACAATGTCATACACCAAAGATTACTCAGGAATGAGTCTTTCCAGACGTCAGCTGTCGCAAGCACGAGGGCCCCTTCGGGCAAACGGTCATCATCAAACCAACTGAGCCACAAAATTACCCCAATCGCCAATCTCTTAGGTCGCCACGGTAGCCATCACATGCTTTTGGGCATGTTGAATGTGCTGCCTGCGGGAGGTCTCGCGATTAGCGACCTGACTGCTACTATTGCTCTAGATGTGTCCCAAGCTGTCGCAATTCCCGAAGATTCAGCCTGGTTCGCCCCTGGAATGATTGTGCTCGTGGACGGTGTGTACGAGGAAGAAGAGGAGTCCGTCGGCAAGGGACTGAGTGGTAGCAGCGGTGTCGGAGGAACACTAGGCGGCAGGTTCCAAGGTTTCTTCATTGGTCAACCACCATGCGAGAAAAGGAGAGCCACATTAGGAGTCAGCGGTCCCGATGGCGGTCAAGATCACACCATAGGAGGTGGATTCGGCTGGATCGATTTCCTCGGCGTCGGAAGCGAACGAGCCGTCGGATCCAAGATGCGGAAGCTCGAGCAGCGGCTACTGCCCCGCCACTCTGCTGAGGAGGTGCCCAGTAGGGGCCGGATGGTGATCATTGGCGAGTTGAACCTCGACCAACCACGAACGTTGCAAGCCTTGCGGAGGATACTCGCGATATACGCAGCTGAGCCCGAAGGCTCAAGCCCCATGACTTTCGTTGTCACGGGTAATTTCACTCAGCATGCTGTCCTTGCCAGGGGTGGCAGCGGCGGCAGCATCGAGTACAAAGAATACTTTGACGCCTTGGCCTCGGCCCTATCCGACTACCCCACGCTCCTCCAAACGTCCACCTTTGTGTTCGTCCCAGGAGACAATGATGGTTGGATCTCATCGTTCACCGCCGGCGCTGCGACACCGCTGCCCCGAAAAGGAGCACCGGACGTCTTCACATCACGCATTAGACGTGTCTTCGCGGCGGCAAATGCAGAGCTTGGGGCCAAGAGCGATGGCGAGGCCATCTGGACATCAAACCCGAGTCGTCTGACACTTTTTGGTCCGAATCACGAAGTTGTCGTCTTCCGAGACGACATCTCAGCCCGCCTCCGCCGCACGGCAGTCCGCCTGAAGTCATCGAAACAAAATGCGGGCGAGGATGAGGAGAACCAGCCTCCCGAGACCGGAAGCGGAGCAGACGACGTCGATATGGCAGGGAATGACCAGGTCGCACCAGAGGAGGCTATGGATCTTGATAATCCCAGCGAGAAGCCCGCTGTCAAAGAGGTTAACTCGAGCCTGCCTCAAGACATCCACACGGCGAGGAAGCTCGTCAAGACAATCTTGGACCAGGGGTATCTGTCGCCTTTCCGTCAAGCGACCCGCCCAGTACATTGGGATTATGCGACAGCTCTGCACCTTTACCCTTTGCCAACATCAATGGTCCTCGTAGACACGACGGCGCCGCCGTTTTGTGTGACGTATGAGGGTTGTCATGTCATGAACCCAGGCAGCATTCTTGTGCCTGGACGGACGCGGGTCAGTCGCTGGATAGAGTACGAGATTGGGAAGATTGGCAAGTTACGGGAGACGACGTTTTGAGCTACAGCATAGCGGCTTTGTGTTTTGTAATAGATTTGGAGCCGCAGTTGTGGCTACCTAATATGGGCCGTTGGCAACTGGGGTTGAAAATAATTCCACAATCTTCAAGGAAAGACAATTACCTTGAACGATGTCACGAATCTGAGCATGAAATAAGTGTCTGGTCTATCCTGTGATGGACGTGTGGTATACTGGACCAGTCCTGCACCTAGGAGTGAGATCCGATATATGGTGTGCAGCAAGACCTCCGTTTTAGTTTGTCATGTAAGAACCGGTTTGAATCCTCTCGGTTCAACTTTCGTGAAACGGTGTGTCAACTGTAGAGTCTTACTTCGCTGGGTCTGGATCTTCAAACTACATGGTTGCTCAAATGCCATTTCAAGGACGGAGCGCTAGTCAGTTTTGTCGATTCTACCAGCCTAGACTTCTCAGTCCAAATCTCTACGGCCGAGTAATGGTTTCATAGAGGATGTATTGGCTCATAAGCCACTCAAGATGATATGACCAAGTGATGTTGAAGTTTCTGACGATCTTTATGAGCTTCACTGGCTGTGTAGAACTTACGGAAGTAGCAATTCAGCACTAAGGTAGACGTGGCCACATCGATGGCGCTGCTTCCGAGCCTAAATCAGGCTGCTGGGAAGGTATGCCATTGGATCCCGACTCCAGAGTCAAACTTCCACAAGTACAAGCTCGAGGTCGGAATTATCACCAACGCATGAGGTTGAAGTTCCACTTCCACGTGGAGAAACATGTTCCCAAGCGCTCGGGAGGAATGAGCTGCACGTGAGTCGTCGCGAACTTTCATGGCTTAGTGCACCACTAGACCGTGGGAGGCAGGAGAATCGTCCAGTCGTGGGAGAGTAGGTACCCTACTCCGTAGGTTGCATAACATAAAGATACCTAGGTAACTCTCTGTCCAGCCTCCAGCCAGTCATGGCAGTCCAGGCCTGGTTTGCGCTTGACCGCTGCTGAAACGGAGCTGACCAGAATGTCGAAGTCGGCCCACGTCCTGGGTGTTCTTGCGGCCTTCGTTCTCGCACTTGCACACACGTCTGCAATTTCCTCCCGGACTGTCCAACGAATTCGAGCGTGCACTAACAGCACTTACCGCCCCCCTGGTCGACATTCCCATGGTGGGATAGGTACCCGACGGTCCTGTCTCTCTATCCCATCTTTTTTCCGTCCTAAGTCCCAGCATCCGTCGGGCCCGACCTTGAGTACCTTGGTATGCTGTGGTCCCGGGGTACGTATCTCAGGTGTACAACACTGTCCGTCTGTGTTCCCCTAGACACAGTTTGGCTTTGGGCAGGCACCTTATTATCGAGGAAGAACAAAATACCTTAGAACAAGAGTTGAAAGTCCATGGCGGCCTAGACCGCGGGCCAAATTAAGCGAGAAAGCACCAATGCCAAGTTCGGCCGGGCCTGGCCTCCACTCCTCCGCAGCATACCTTCTAAAGTACAGTGCTTTGGTTCGGCCCAATCAAGTCAGAGCCAGACCACGCACCTTCAATCGCCTCGCAACATCGCCTTGTCCTGGGCGCCACTGGAGCACGCCCTGCATCGTGGGGAATCTCGATCGAGATCTCATAGAATTCCCATATCATCCGCGCAAAGCCCCATTCGGCGTTCCCGGGCAGATTCGACCGCTGATCTTGCTCCAACACGACGCAGGAGGCACAACCGAATGACTTGGCTTTCGCCAGCATCGCGAACACCACTCGCCAGCACTGCGTGCGCGCCTGCGTTGCCACATCCAGGTTGTGTGTGCAGCCTCGACCTCGAGCTTGTCCTTGCTGACTGACATCGTCAGTGACACCAGCTCCGTTTTCGAACAATCTACCTCGTTTCTGCATCCCAGCTTGGATTGTTGTTGTTGCTGCTGCTGCTGCTGCTGTCCTTGACGCTTGTTAGAGCGTAAGAAGAAACTCTCGGCAGCCCTGTAGACGCCACCTCACGAGCCGTGGGACGTATCATTTGGTTACCGTCGTCAGAGGTTGCTGCTCCCTACCGTCTGACTCCGCCGCACCGACATTGTACCCGTTTCTTTCGGAGTTTATGGATCTGGACATCACGACATTCCGTCCCCGCTCTCAGTGAACCGCCGTTGGCAGGACCGCGCCCTCCCAATCAATCAAAAAAGCCATGGCATTGTCACCGGGTGGCATTGTTCCGGCCCAGCTGGGTTTCCTCGCCATTTTCAACCCTTCGTTGGGTCATTCTGATGAGACTCTTGACGATCAAATTGTCTACTACTCTTCAGTCAGCACCCAACGGCATAAAAAGCGTCACCGCTCACGTGCGAAGCCAACTGAGAATCTGTCTCAGGACGAGCGCAATGAGCGTCTTCGTCAGATTGGTCTTGCCCAGGGCATGGTCGAATTCAGCAAAAGCTTCTCTGGCGGCCAGCCTGTCGACTCCATTGACACGGATAAGACACGTGTGATCCTCCATGAGCTGGAGCAAGACTGGTGGATTCTTGCGGTATGTTTCACCTTACACTGACTTGTTTCCTATGACTGATTCACTGCAGTCCATTGATCTTACTCGCATTCCTCTGCCGCCTAAGCTTCAGACAGGGAAAGCACAAGAAACCCCGGAAGAGGTTGTCGAGTATTCATCCAAGGAGATTAAGCCGTCATCTCTTCTTTTGCAGGATCTGCTCCGTGCTCATGCCATCTTCCTGCTTCATCATGGCACCTCTCTCAGTGCTCTGTTTGTTCGCTCCCGAAGAACAAATTTCCTCGGCCTACTCGGTCGGTATTGGGACCTGTTCTTGTCAACTTGGAACGTGATGTTACAAGGGAACCCGATTCGCACAGTATTTGGAGGCATCAACATCGCTGCCTCTGGCGAACTAGGCATTGGCGTTGGCGAAGAGGAGCGGGGCAGTGGAGAACGAGAGGTGCTGGAAGGCCTCGTCACCAGAGTTGAGGGTCTTAAAGACCTCGTGGTCTCAAAGTTTGGATCCTTGGGTGCCGATGGGGATTCAAAAGACGGCAAGGAGCCGAAGAGGTCCTGGCTGGGTACCGGACAAGACCCAGGTCCTGAAGACGGTGCCATTTTCCTGGGGACAGGAGCGTTATCTCGCAAGTCGGTGAGAGACATAACAATGTGGATGGAAGACTTGTATGCGTGGGGAGAGAATGCCTACGGCGTCATCGATAGTCCGACATCTCTTCGCGCTGGTCGACGGGGGAAGAAATCTGAGCCGGCCCCGGAAGCCGAACCAACCCCAGCCCCGACGCCTGCGGTGAAGCCAGCAGTACGGCCGCCGGTTCGCCCTGATAACCATCGATCAAACTCTGGCTCTGCTTCTGGAAGCTCGACCTCAACAAGAACGCTGGCTGAGCGGCGTGGGCTTGAGATTGGTACGGTGAAAGAAGCCAAAAGGCCAAGTGTCACCAATGACAGTTCACCCCCCGTTCCTAAAAACGGCGACACCGAAGCCGACACTGAAGCCGCTACCGGTTCTACCGCTACGCCAACTCAAGGAGAAAGTGATGGCCATATGGACAAACTTATGACGGTCATGAAGCTCGGATACGGCACGTATTGGTCTATCGGCAAATCGGATGCTTCTTCATCTGCGGTTAAGAGCCAACTATCTGCCGTTGCTGCGTTGCAAAGTGGGGAGTCTTCCAAGGCCGCGGTGAACCAGCACGTGAAACCGAAGCAGATGGATGACGACGAGGGACACTACCTCATCGGCCTGATGGGTGATATCGAGGAGGGTAGTGTCGATGAGGAAAACGGAGCCTCAGATGAAGCAGCTGAGCCCGAACCGAACTCTCGCACTCTGCTCCGCACCGTCCACGTTGAGCTTGACAAAGTAGGTACGGACCGCCGAGAAGCAGATGTCGTGAGGAACCTCGGCAACCTCACGAATGATGTGACGCCTCTTGGAGCCAACGCTGTGAGCTCGAATCCAACATTTGGAAACCAGGACTTAAACAAAGCAAGCAAAATGCGCGTCGTCGTTTACGTAAACAAACCCTTCATATTTACTTTCCTCTTTGAATTGAGGACCGACTCGCTGGCCTGGAACTCGTTTTACAGGTCTCTTCACTTCCAATTGGCACCTCTACGAAAGCCACTTTTATCTTCGATCCAATATCGGCCAGAGAGGCCGGAGGCCAGTTCTTCATCGTCCAATATCTACGATCTCGTATGGGACACTGAGGCTATGACGGTACATTCGACCATACCAAATATTCCGGACCATGCACAAGCGTTTATTTCAAACGCACCATTGCCCTGGTCAAGGGTGGAGGCCATGAACACACACATGCAACTACTCAATATTTTCAACCTCACCAGGCCGGAAATAAACCAGCTCGAGAGGACCTGCAAGACCAATCGTGGCTGGTGGGTCGTTTGGCAGCGCATCCTGAATCGACGCGCCACGACCGGTGAAGCATACCAGCCGACGCAGAACTACGAGGATGACGCCCACTCGACGTCTGACAGGGACGTTTCTCCGGCGAGCGGCGACGGGTCTAGCACGGCGCGGCCGTCATCGCCTCCGTCGCCGAGCCCGACGGTCAGCAAGGAGATCATTCTGATCCGGAGGGCGAGCGATCACGCCGGCCACCGCGGCGTCAGCTCGTCATTCGCTGAGGGCGGCGTAGGACTGACGGGATCGGGGTGGGGCGGCGACGGCGCGGGCCGTCTTGCATCGGGGATCGGCATTGATACACGGAAGTATATTGAGGGGCTTTTGAACTTTAGTCGGTAAAGAACATGATACACTTTCTCCGAAGCCTGGGGAGGCCGGGTGGGTGGTCAATATCTTCCCCTTCTCCAACTTCTAGGTTGAGAGACACGCGGAGTACGCGGGCAGCGGGATACGGATTAGCTACAGCTATGGCGTTGGGTTCATGTCAATAACAGGGGAGACATCATGGTGATACACATCAGCGGTGGACTTTTTTCTTTCTCGCCAAGAACATGATTAGATGCGGGTAATATTTGACAATGAATGACCAAGATCGATAT